GAGTGTGCCGCCCAAGTTTGCTAGAATGTCTGGTTTCCACGAGGTGCGAAGTAGTGAGGGGAGAGGCCATAAGAGATCAAGCACGATAGGAGATATTGGTTCAAAGCTCCTCGGTCGTAGTGGATCCGTATTTGGCGGCCGAAATAAGAAGAAATCAGAACAGCAGCAACCTGAAAAGTCGAAGAAGTATCCGCCTGTGAGCATGACCAATGCCATAGCACAAGGAGAAGAGCAAACGGGCAGGCCGTCGGTAGATTCCAAGACGTCTCGTCGGTCATTCTCCTTGGGCATCGGCAAGAAGAGGAGCGGCAGCATCGCAGGGTCCCAAGGCTCTGGTGATAAGAAGGAAAGGCGGCGGTTCTCTCTGCTGCCGGCCTCTTTTTCATTGAAATCGATTGGCCTAGGCAAGGAGTATTCAGAGCCTGCCCCATCCGAGGTTGGATCTTATACGGACTTGCCTATTCAATCAGGCCGACTAGATCCTCCGAGAAGCGTTACCGCCCCAGGGGATGCAAGAGGAAGCACGCCCTTTTTTGACAATGTGCAAGAAACAGCTAGCTCGAGTCCCGTCTATCACCAGCGTTATGCCTCGGCGCAACTGGACAACCGTCGACCCAACGCAATTCCTCCATATATGCAATCCGGATCTCCCTTTAACAGCGGGTCCGAAACGTCAGTAGAGATCCGTCGTCCGCCTACGGAGCCGCAGACGAGATCCCACAGCCACGGCTTCTCTGACGTCGAGGGCTACGACAATAAGCGAGCCACCAGCAGCCGGGGACAGCGAGGGGTTTTGCAAAAGAATCACAAACGATTTACAGATGCCTATGACCAGGATGAATATAGGGGACATGAGGGAAGCAGTGGGGCCGCGAAGCGAGTCATGGATTTCTTTAGAAGACGAGGCAAGGCTCGAGGTGGCGATGAGAGGTGATGAAGAGTTTGGCAGATTTGAAAGGTGTCGTTGCAGGAGAACGTCAGCAATTGATGGAAACGACGAGCAAGGGCATTTCAGGCCATGTTCAGCGTCGGTTTATCCTTTCAAGACGGTCCCTTGACCAGTGAGCACTTGGCGGGTGTGCAGCACAAGTGCGCCACAGACAGTCGCCTCTTGGCTGCTTTTGCTGTGCTCAAACAGATTCTGCATGCAAAGATTGATTTGGAGAACAATATTTCTGGAGAAGTGCTCGCGGCTCCTCGTGGCGCAGGGTGAAGACATAGCGTTGTGAGGGTCTTTTTTTATTTTTCAACTCATAATGCCTCGAGGCTAGTTTGGTTTTGTGTTTTTCTCTGTTGCTTGGCTGTTGGTTTCTTTACACGTACTTTGTTTCCTGTCTTTCCTTGATTCTGTATTCCTCGCAGAATGATACCGCAATATTATGCCCGTTTCATATCTAGAGGGTCCAAGTAATGAAAGACCAGATGTGGATGTACATGAGGGGTGTAGACGGAATGCGACCCGAGCCTGCAGCACGGTAGGCGGCGAAGAAATCAACGGACATATATGGGAGAAGGACCGATTATATCGATGGGGGGGACGCCTTGTGCGTGCTATACTTGTTTTGAAGTGTTGTACTTTTGTTTCCTTTGGGCATTGCTGGAGCGAGCAGTAACATTGGTGCTTTTATCGAAAGGGATTCGATGATGCGAGGAGGGCTGGAGCGGACGGTTTTTACCCATAGTACAGAAAATTACGGCGAGATGAAATTGGTCAGATACGTTGAAAAGGCTGAACTGGTTTGTCCCCAAGAGCTGTGTAACCAATGCTACGACTCTTGACGTATTGATCAAGGATATCGCGCCACTACAATAAATGCATGCCGGACTCTTGGTCTCTGACTACTTGGTTTTTCCCGCATTCATTCTCTCTCGAATGATGGTCTATCCGCATGTAGGATCTGATGACTTGCATTTCCCTCGGCCAGCCCGGATAATCGGCAACGTCAAGTGGTTATTTGTCTTAAAGTGGGAGAGTGGCATGCATGGTCAGTGTGCACATTCGGTTGAGTTAGTATGCTTGATACCGAGTCCGGATTCTCAGGGATTGAATAAATACGCTTTACAATTCACACAGGGCGATAAAAGATAGTCTGAATCGTATGCTTTGAAGTATCAAGTGATTGCCTGTCTGGTGTTCATGAATGGCTGTGGCGAAGACGGCGGCTCGAGGTACGTCAAAAATGCACCACGGGCGAGAATACTCGTGCCGAAGATATGAGTTAACTTGTACTTGACCAGTTAGATAGGCAACTTGGTATTTAACAGGATTTTGGATTTTGCACAGCCGATGCATTCTTGGTCTATCAATGATACGTCATGGTAAAGACTGGTGTCGTGCTCACCGACGATCAATTGCTCTTTCTTGGACAATTAGCATCCCCGGCCCGATGAATGCAAGATGGACTGTGGACGCAATGACGTGCTGCGTTTTCAATCACGCTGTACTCGACGCTCCATACGGAGTGTTAGTAGTGATGATTGATGGTTACTGGGTTTCACCTGTCCGCCGACCCTCACCTCGTTACTTTTCGACGGCCGAGACATGATGCCCCGTCGAGCTTGAAATGGCCGAGAGGCGGGGGAGACCAGGTCTAGACCCTTGACCGGGAAATAGCAGGTATCGAGGCTCAAGTGTGGTCTGCGGTTTGCTCAGCCACGAGGCCGCCAACGTCCCGCCCACCCGCGAGCAGCCAGACCATCGACGACCATGTTGGCTGGCGGAAGCTTGTTTGCTGCCCGCATACCCGGGAATAAGCTTGATTTTGACCGTGGACCTACGCCACACGCTAACATGGGTGAATGTTGTATGGAGCCCTTGTACTGACGGCGCAATTACGTCGGCGACTGCAAAGGAGTTTTGATTGCTGAGGCTGTGTGCTGCATTGCACGTTGTTTGCTGCAGATAGATGATGTTTGACAAAAAGAAAAAAACGAAGGACCCGTCATTGCCTGTTTTCTCCGCTGCTACAGAGTAGAGTCTTCGGGGATCGAGACCATGGTAATGCCTGTAAACCACGAGGAGGCATGTCTCCTAAAGCTGTAGCTAGGCTAGAGCAGTGCCACGCCCAAGCAGGGCACAGGAGATGGCGGTTTTCGCTTCAATGCTGTATCGCAACGCGTGTCTGACTTTGCTCTCGGCCACGCTGTGACTTGACGATGTGTTAGACTGGGCGGACGAGACGTGGGTTGGAATTCACGGCGCACGGGCGTCAGATCACGGCACAGAGCTGCCGAGATGGTTCAGAACGGAGCAATGTCGTGATGGTTTTTTGTATGCTCGGCACGAGTAGAGATGTGAAGTGTTTTGAGATGGCGTTGTCTCAACTTGAGTCGATGCAGGCACGAGATGCAGCCAAGGGAAAACGAATACATATCCTTTGGCCGAGACCCGAGCAAGGAGCAAGGTGGCAGGAGTCACGGGACATATCAGCCAACGCAGGCAACGCGTACGGAACACTGACTGAGTCCTGCTCCATACTGCGTGTGAAGTGGGCAGCGAGGAAAGACATTCTGGAGCGAATGAGACATAATATGCAATCTTGTCTCTTGTCTCTGTGGACGGTGATTGAAGACAAGTTATTTCGCCGTGTGCGTGGCAGTGCATCTGGAAGCAGAAGGAAGGGATGGAGATGAATCAAGAGTACGGAGTATGGAGTAGAGGTCCCAAAGCTGAAAGGAACAACAGGGGACTCGGTAGTGATCAGCTCAAAGACGATGCGCATTAATCAGAGTCTAATTACTGGATGACGGCGAAGATTTTGTCACGGCAGTTGATGCCTTGGAGGTGGTCGCGGGCGTCAAAGCATCAGGGCACCCGGGCCAGCATTGAACAGCGAACCGTCGAGAGGCAACTACGACGCGAGCGCTGGCGTCACAGCGCAGTTGCCAGACGCGAAGTCACTCCGATTGACCAGATCACATGGCGCATTGCGTTGTGTGCTAGCGGGCCCCGCTAGCCCAGCAACATTTCAGATCGTTGGCAGAGTGGCACGGGGCAGTCATAGCGGGGCAGACGCAGCCTTACAAGGGACGGGAGCCGCGGCAGTGCTGCCAGTGCCACTCCAACGCGCGGACATGGCACCTGGGAGCACCAGACTTACAGTAGTATCAATTGTCAAGTCCGACACACAGTGACTCGACTCTCGCACCTCGGTGCCATCGTAATGATGCCCTGCCTCCGTTGTGTGTAACACCCGCTGCCGAACCTGTGCATGAGCAAGGAACGCATGTGTCGTCTCGTCATGGATGGTCAGTCAGGCAAGTTAACGCGCGTGCGTGCAACGCAGAAACACAAACCGAAACGGGCAACGGCAAGGGTCGTTTACTCGTCAGGCTCCATTCGGACTAACCAGCTCTGACCTCACCTCACCTCGCTCACTCACATCCCGGGGCTCCCAGAGATTAACTAGCAACTACTCCGTATGTACATCATCATCACCGGTCCACAAAATCAATCTTGATTTGTTGCGTCTGCGCGTCCGCGTTCCACTTGCCAGGTTCACTACTGGGTTAAACCCATCCGCCGCCACGCCTTTCTTGCTGACCTTTCTTCGCTAGCCCATGCTTTCCTGCCGGCAATTGTAGTAATCGCCTCCTGAGGGCGCAACTGGCACCTACAGTACAGTACCTACCTGGTAGGTAACTAGTAGTCAGAGTCGTTCTGGCAAACAAGCTTTGACTCCTTCCCAGATGATGGCCAGATCCTAGGGTCTTATCTGTGGCGCACCTTCCCTGCTTCGGACGACTCCCTCCAGTCCCCCGACTCGGGATATCTCATCGCCCATAAAAGGCACTCCTCTCGCTCCCTCCCCCACCGCCCTTTGCGTTGCTGGACCCGTTCTCTTCACAGCTTCTTGGCTTCTTGCCTCTCCATCTGGATTCTATTACTTCGATTCGCCTCGTCTCTCTTTTCTTGCAACACTGAGCGTATCTCTGCCACTTCTCCACGCCACTGCCTTTTGCCCTCTGAAAGCGCTACTCGTGCTTCCAACACCTGTTCGATGACACAATCCTCTTCTGATCCTCCTGATATAGACAGAAAACGTCCTGGTGCATCAGCAAAAGCCTATGGAGGGCTTGACGCTTTGTCCAATCAACAGCATACGGCCACCAACGCCACTTCAATCCTCCTAACTGAGTCGTCCTCCAGCGCCAATGTCGGTGACGCGACTTCTGCTGCTTTCGGGCACAACAAGAACAATGGCAACTCCTCACGCAGTCTTGGTGGCTCCGTCGTCTTCCATGAAAAGGCCCGGCCTACTGAGTCTGATGCCAACTACCTCGGAGCTCTCCCTGAGAACACTGCGCCTGCCACATCTACGCAAGGTGATAGGCAAGGGTCCATCGTAGAGATCAAAGAAGGAGGTATTGACAAGGACACTACACACAAATCAGACGCCATCAATGATAATACGGGAGATGATGGTGCCTCACGGAAGAAGAAACGAACCTTTCTCGAAGAGCTCCGTAGATCCTTCTGGCTCGTTGCTACGTACAGCTGGCTCAACGTCCTGTTGGTCTTTGTGCCCGTTGGAATCGTGGTTGCCAACATCCATGGCGTGCACGGCGGCATAGTCTTTGCTATGAACTGCATTGCCGTCATACCTCTCGCAGGATTGCTTAGCCATGCAACCGAATCTGTTGCCAGTAAAATGGGTGACTCCCTCGGCGCCTTGCTCAATGTGACTTTTGGCAATGCTGTCGAGCTCATCATTTTCATTATTGCATTGGTTAAGAACCAGATTCGCATTGTGCAGGCATCGCTTCTTGGCTCCATCTTGGCGAATCTGCTGCTCATCCTTGGCATGGGGTTCTTCCTTGGCGGCCTTCGCTTTCGGGAACAGGTTCGTTGTGCTAAATCGAATCCGTTCGTGCCACCGCGCGGTTTATAAGCTAACCGGTCTATTATAGATCTACAATAGCACCGTCACACAGATGAGCGCTTGTCTACTGAGTCTCAGCGTTATTAGCCTGGTGCTCCCTGTAAGTATCTGCTTGCGTACATTCTATACAATCCTCGCGCAACAATTACTTACTGGCCCTATAGACGGCGTTTCACGCATCTTTCAGCGACGATAAGCTTGCAGATGCCCAATCTCTCAAAATAAGTCGCGGGACCAGTGTAGTACGTGGGCCCTATGCTCCCAGCAAGAGCCAATTTGATGAACGCTAACATGAACTCACCACTAAGATCTTGCTTCTTGTTTATATCATCTATCTGTTGTTTCAGCTAAAGTCTCATGCCTACATGTATGAATCCACTCCTCAACATATTGTGGATGCCGAGTCGACACCTGGTCCTGCTGCAGCCTGGTTGGATACCTCAAGCAGCTCAGATGACGATAGTTCCTCCAGTTCGGACTCGGATTCGTCCGGACATTCCCGGGACACCATTGGCCGGAAAATGAAGAAGGTCTTACGGAATGGAATACGTCGCAAGTCGTCGCTTGCCTCGATGGACACGGCTGATGCCAGAGCTATGCGAAACGGCTCCGTTGGGACGGGAAACCCAAGCTCCAACGAAGAGTCCATTTCTGAAGCATCGTCGTCTCGCAAGCCATATTTCCCCCGAATGCTCTCGACTGATGACGGTGATTCTACAGATGATGAAAAGACTGGCCGGCATCGAAAGCACCGAATGCGTCGACACTCACGTCGCAAGCATAAGAAGAGAGACCGCAAGAAGCAGGATCATGATTCCAAGGAACAAGCTTCCAGTGTACAGCCTGAGAATGGTGTGCTAGCTGGTGGTGAGTCTGAACCACGCCGGGTAGATTTTGCCATTCCCGCCCAACTGGATGCTTCGTCTGGTGCGGCGGCGGAAAGTGGTAATGAGTCCGCCAACACCAAGCGGCCGTTTCAAGGTTTCCGTTCACTCTCTGTCAAGAACCTCGCCCCAAGCGTCTTTGTACAGAACCCAAACACGCTGGTTGCCGCCCCTCCCACACCAGCTGGACCTGTCCCTCGCGTTCGATACGGTATTCGCCGCACCAACTCGTTGCCTGACCGCCTTGGCCAACATCAGCAAATTCGCGCGCCTGGTGCTATGTGGCCGGCCCAGATTCCCCTTATGTCTCTAAATACAGCCGCTGCAGCCACCAAGAAACTCAACAACGATGATGATGATGAGGAGTACTTGACTCGCTGGGCCTCTGTCATACTTCTTCTTGTCAGCACTGGGTTGGTTGCGGTCTGTGCCGAGTTTCTCGTTGACTCTATCAAGGAGGTCACCGAAACCTCGAGTCTTGGAGAAGTCTTTATTGGCCTAATTATCCTCCCTATAGTAGGTAACGCGGCAGAACACGTTACGGCTGTCACGGTGGCGATGAAGAACAAAATGGACCTCGCCATTGGCGTTGCGGTTGGCAGTTCGATTCAGATTGCTCTGTTTGTAACACCCCTGGTGGTCATTTTGGGATGGATCATGGACAAGGAAATGACGTTGTACTTCACCTTGTTTGAAACTGTGTGTCTGTTTGTTTCGGCCTTCATCGTCAATTTTCTGGTTCTGGACGGCCGCAGCAATTACTTGGAAGGCGCACTTTTGTGTGCTGTCTACATCATCATTGCTGTGGTTGCATTCTTCTATCCAGATCCAAAGGACGCAAGTTCATGGGGCAGCTAAGATATTTGGACTGAGACGAACCACCTAGTTTCTTGACCAAAGAGCTTCATGGTGTCACCAGTCAATTGAGGGAAGGGCGAAGACTGGCATGGATGTTGGAGGGGTAGCTGTACGGGAAACCTATTCAGACAAAGTGGATAGATGTTAAATAGATTGAACATAAACGGTCATTTGAAGTACACATAGTCCCTTTTCGAAACTATTCCGACGAAGAGTGTTGTTGATCTGATCATTTAGACTGGTAAATATGGAAGCTCGCAGTTGCGTTAGCTCAAGACCATTATATGTCACGATTTGTTAACTCAGTGGCCAGTATGGAGTGAGAGAGATGATGCACGCCTGAGGAAATCAATTTTATTTATTATCATTACCATAATCATTTTTCGTTTCGTTCATGTCCAGCCAAACTCGCACTGCCTTGTATCAATAATGCACCAGTCCCTTAATTTGCCGGTGTCTCATACTGCTGGACTTGCTCCTCAGTCCAATTCCAAAATGCCTCGGAGTTGCCATCCTCGGCGGCCTTCTTCAAGTCCCCCCGTATAGTCAGAAATCGACCCCAGGGCCCAACTGGTTCAACAGTGTTAGCATGCGGTCGCGACCATGGTAAATGGTAGCCAGTAGCGAAGCAAAAAAGAAAAGAAAAGAAAAGAAAAGAAAAGAAAAGAAAAAAACTTACCCCAATGACCGGACCGATCCAAGGTGACTGCGGGCGACAACCCGGCAAACAACTCAGTATAGGCGCCGAACTTGGGCGGATGCAGCACAAACGTCTTGAGCATCCTCGACATAAACGCCGTCTGCGTCCTCCACAGCTCCGAGTCCAAATTGCCCGGGTTCAAGGCGATGCTCAGCACGCCCTTGTCCCGAAACCGCTTCGCCATCTCCACGGCGTGCAGATAGTTGCCGGCCTTGCTGAGCGCATAGCTCGTGAACTCGGACTTGTCGAGGCGTCGGCCAATGTCCTTCATGTCGACGCCGCCGCGGGGCACCACGGGTGCTTCGGCGGCGGACGAAGCGACCCAGATGACGCGCACGGTGCCGGGCTCCTCGGCGGCGGCCGTCTCGACAAGGCGCTGCGAGAGGAGCTTGGTGAAGAGGAACGTGCCGAGGTTGTTGACGCCCAACTGCAGTTCGTAGCCTTGTTTCGTGGCGGACCCCTTGGGCGGGTTCATGACGCCGGCGTTGTTGAAGAGCACGTGGAGCTTGGGCTCGCGGTCGAGGAACTGGCGCGCCGAGGAGGCAATGGTGGTCAAGTCGGCGAGGTCGAGGGGCAGGAAGATGAGGTCGCCGGTGGAGGAGGGGAGGGAGGATTTAATTTCCGATATGGCGGAGAGGGTCTTTTCCTGGGAGCGCGCGGCCATGTATATGCGTGCGTTTTTGGAGTAGAGGATGCGGGAGAGTTCTTTGCCCACGCCTGTGTTGGCGCCCGTGACGATGTATACCTAGTGTTTTTGTGAGGTTAGGAGAAGAAGAGTTTTTGTTTTTTTAGACTGTTGGAAGGGGGGATTGAGGGTTCCGGAAATACCTTTTCTTTGAGATCAGGGAGTTCGAATTCTGTAAAGAGTGGTTTGGGGGGGTAGAGTTGCGACAGTTGGTCGATGAGATGCTTGAACATGGTTGTGTTTGTGGAGCGTCTGATTGAATGGATATGAGGTGATGAAATTGTGTGCTGTAGGGAGGGTATCCGGCACAGAGGGGATAAATATGAAGTGGTTGAATTGTATGCAGTAGGGAGTATATTTGGTATGGTTGGTATGGTTGGTGTAACATGTAGGGAGTCAAGGGTGTCTATATTTAATCTGACGGTAGTTGGTGAAGAATGATGCACAGTCGAGACAGGAGCAGTCGGGAAAGTGCGATGACGCGCGGGAAGCCACCAGCCACAGGAGGCGGCTGCAAGGCATTGGGGCAGTCGGTGGCGCTCCTCGGCACCTACCCTTGCCCTGCATATGTCCAGTTGCCGAGGCCGCGGGAACTGGATTACGCCATCACCGACGAGTGGTGCCATGTCTGGACCTCTTGTTTGCGACATACGCAGCAAGAGCGAGTCCGAGTGCGATGGGCTTGACAACGCCTCCCACACAGCCACATGTCTTTTCCTTCTGGATTAAGACGCGTGCCGATGACGTCTAGGCCTTCAATTTTCGATGCTCGCTCGCCTCCCCCCCCTGGGTTGCGACAAGTGGAGCTAATGTTTCGGACAATGGTTGACAAGTGCCGTAGTCCGTGGTCCGTGGTCCGTGGATGCGGATGCGGATGCGGAGCGGTGATCGGATCGGACGAGTGTATCCCGCAAATGACCAAACAAGGGAGATTGCCATGTACTACATTAAGGCACGCCAACCATCTCCTGTTCTGTGCTGCGGAGGACGGGGGTGGGCTGCGGACAACCGCTCCAACGGCATCTTGGCCGTAGCCGAAAAAGCCGACTGAAATTACGGGTCGCGCGGCTTTGGAGCTGAAGTGGCCAAAAAAAAAACCCGCTGCCGTCGTTGGAATCCGGGGTCCCCGCGATACAAAATGCCATCATTGCCATGGCCCACCTCCCCGTCCGGAGCACAGCATCAAGCACCATTGCGACAAAAGCATCGCGTCACTTGCCATGTCTCGGAAAACCGTGCCCATTGTCCACACGCAGCTATGGAAGGATAGACACGTCGACGAGAAATATACGCCCGCCCGACCGTCCGCCGCAGCCGAAGCCACGTCCACACGACTCTCATGCGGGTGCCGCACCAACAACGCGGGCCTGGCGGCCTGGTGTGTGCTGCACAGCGAGCAAGTCCACAGCGAGGAGTCGGCGCCGGAGTCAACGTCGTCGGAGTCAACGTCGTCGGAGTCAACGTCGTCGGAGTCACCGGCCAGCCATGGTGCCCGCGAGGTGCCCAGGGTCGAGGTGACCGCGGCAACGGCTTCCCGGGACGACATGTTGCTGCACTCTGAGCTGGGCATAGTTTGCCCGCTTTCACAGGCGTTTGACTGTGTCAGCGTGACGGACAGCGAGCGCGACTATCTGTACCGGAGATTGTGCGAGGGTCTCAAGGGGCAGCACGGGGCGAGCAGACAGAGTCAATTGAGCGAACTGCGACATCACGGGAAGCTGGATGCGGCAAACGGGGACGAGCATGAGAATGAGGAAAAGGACAGGCAGTTCCAGACCTGGGTGTGGCAGGAGTTTGATAAGTGGGTTGAGTTCATGCATCCTGACGGGAGTCGGAGTGTCTGATAATGGAGAATGATGAATTATACAAAATCCGTCCATGATACTGCGTATGCGGCCGCGGCAAGACAAGCACGCCGGGACAATCCTCTCTTGCCTGCACTTCAAGACCTGAGGGAGGTTGTTCGGTTGATCCTAGATTGGCAATCTGGCGGCCGCCCAAATATCTAATCCATTTATCCATCCATCCCTCATATATCATTCGATCCAACCTTGGGGTTGTTTCAGCATTGGCAAGTTTCTGCGCAGCGCCAGCCACATCCGGCGCACCGCCCTTTGCGGCTCTATTAAACTAATCGACTCATATTTGACGACTACCCTATCGCAGTCGCTCCGCTGCGACGGCCTCTCCAGCTTGGCAAGGAACTTGTCTGGTATCCTCGTCGTGTAGACGTAAAGCCTCTTTTCCTCTCTCGTAGGAATCCCCATCAGCGTTACCCTCTGTCCGCCTTCACCTTCACACTCCCTCTGGCTACCGTCTCGTCGCTGCTGATGCTGTGCTAGCCCAATCAGTATGCCCATGATGTACGGGTCTTCGCACGCCTCCGCTGGCTGAATCAGTTGCAGCTTCCTGGCTCTGCCCCGGCTGTGCCTCTTCCGAAAGATCGATATTGTTTCGAAATTGGCGTACGCAACGAGCTGTGCCCCCCCGGAGTTCATCTCGAAGATGTCATCCGGCCGCAAATGGTTCACAGTCTTGTCGCCAAACTGGAACTCGACTTTGGCGGCTTTAAGAATACTGACGTTTCGAGATCGAAATCCATTTGCGCTGGTACCACTGTGCGCCTTCTCATCAGCGCCTGCCGAATAGCCCTGCAACTTGCACCGTTTTGCAACCACCTATATCTCGACCTTGTGCGAACTTACCGAGACGGTACAAAGCCAAACTCGGCAAGAAGAGCCCTCATGGCCAATTTCTGCCTGTCCGCACCCTCTAACAGCAGCCCTCTTGTGGCGACTATTGCATCCGAGCTCGGCCAATGGCGCTCGTCTTCTCTCAGTTGCTCTGCGTCAAGGCTCTCGTCGAGCTTGTTACCAAGGCCTTGTTGCTGTGGGCCTTGCTGTGGCTTTGATATTCGCACGTCTACCTTCTCGAATGCCATGTTAAGCAGCCGAACTTGGTCCCCAGTCCACGCGATGGTGGGCACGTACAGTCGCTTCACTCTGTGTTCCCGAAGAATTGCATTCAGCGATCCTGCTTCGGGCTGCTTGCCAGAGCTGTGAATTGGCCGAGGGCTTGCCTCCAGGCGCGTCGTTTCGCCATCTGCGACGACGACAGGCCCCTTTCGCTGTACCCTCGTGCCGCACGGGTTTCTCGCGATGCAGTCACCGAAATTGCCATGCTGCGTGGAATCTGGTTGCGGCATCGTCGCAAACATGGTCGTGTCGCCCTCATGCGGCAACGGGTAGACAAAGAGGCCAAAAAAGAATTACAAACTTGCGTACTAGAAATGGCGAGGCTTGCGGGCGTTTGTTCAATGTTGACGTTTCAAACACAAAGGGGGCAGGCAACAGGGACACACCGTCACTTGGTGACATAAGCAACCTGGGACCAGCATTTCGTGGTCATTTGTTGGTCTTGACCCTTGTTCGTACATACTCGGAGCAGGGACTCATTTCGCAGCAACACCTAAGACAAATATACCCATGCTTGTTTTGAGAGATACGTATGTTATCAGACTAAAGGGGGCCAGAGATGCGTTCTTCAAGGTGCGATTTGCACGGGGCCACAGGGCAACGATTCATAGCTGCACATTGATTATGCCATGGATTCTGACTGATGTGGGCGTAGTCTTCCATAGGCCATCTGCTGCTGCAGTAAGGCACGGAGTTGGTAGTGAATATAAAAAAGCAACTTGCAGTCCTGCCACCAATGTTATCGTGTGATTGGCGTGCCATTCTGGCTGCAAAAATAAAGTGTGGTGGGGCATGCATCTACTAGCCGGGTACGGACTAGTATCCGGAGGTGGGTAGCGGGCAGGGTTGTGAACTCGTGCGTGTGAGATGAATGGCTTTGTTCGCGCCATGCCATTCTTCACATCATCATTCTGTCAACCGTTCTTATTCCCCTTCCAAACCAAGTTGCAGCCTCCATCGTCGCTACTAGCATCGTCCGCGAGACAATTACTGCTGCCAAGATACAATTTGAACAAAATAATCAGCGGTAGGTAGCTAACCTTCAATCAACGAGAACCCATTCGTTGCACGCAAGCAACACAACCACACGTCATGAGTCATGATGTCTGAGCATCGCGCTGACAGAACCACCATCATCAGGCACATTTCAATTTTGGTAACACGGCACCATGTGCTCCGGAGGGAAAAATGAAATGAACAATGACCCGGCCCCGAGGCCCGCTCAGAAGCCGCAGCGTCCAGAGCGTGCAAAGAATCCCTCGTGGAATGCCTACCCGTCATCCGCTGCATCATCATCAAAACAGCACACCTACGCACCACCATCCGGACCACCGCCCAGCCAGCAACAATACGCCGCACCACCGGGTCCGCCACCATCCCATCACCAGAATGAATTCGCGCCTCCAGCAGGACCTCCTCCAGACCACAAGCCCGGATACGCACCGCCTCCTTCTAACCAGGACTGGGCAGTCCCTCCTCCCGAGGCCCCTCCGTCCCAGAAGACAGCCGAGCACGACTGGCAAGCCGTGGTGCCCGACACGTCTCTCTTCCCTCCTCCGCCGGCCATCTTCAGCGGACACGACTACTCGCCCACAAATAATGCTACGGAGGAAGAAGCAGAAGCCGGCGAGGCCTGGTGTGCGCAGCATCCTCTCACCCAGCCCCTGCATCTCGACGCCGCGGCCAAGACGGCCCTCCACGCAAACAACTTCCGCCTCATGGAGCCCGCCGGCTTCAACGGCAAGCTAAACTGGCTGGCACCCGGCCACTGGGAGGCCTCGACATCAAACAACGCCCCGGACAAATGCATCATCGGCTACCCGCCGCTGTACCTCGTCCACGAGCACGACCCCACGCGCCACGGCCAGCCCAAAACCATTTACTACGAGGTCAAGGTCCGCCGCGGCAACAAGAACAACACCATAGCCGTGGGTTTCACCGCCCTCCCCTACCCGTCCTTCCGCCTCCCGGGCTGGCACCGCGGCAGCCTGGCCGTCCACTCAGACGACGGCCGCAAGTACATCAACGACCGATGGGGCGGCAAGGACTTCACGCACGCGTTCCGCAAGGGCGAGACGCTGGGGATCGGAATGACCTTTGCGCCGACCGGCACGCCGCGCCCCGACGTGTCCGTCTTCTTCACCAGGGACGGCGTCCGCGCCGGCGGCTGGGACCTGCACGAGGAGACGGACGCCAAGCAGGACTTGCCGGTGACGGGGCTGGAAGGCTTCCACGACTTGACCTGCGCCATTGGCGTCTTTGACAGCGCCGAAATCGAGGTCGTCTTTGATCCTGCCAAGTGGAAGTATAAGCCTACGTAGGCACTGGCGCACGGCGGCTTTACTTGTTTATTCTCTCTCTTTTTTTCACCCAGAGAGACATGTTGTGTCAAGTCTTGTTGAACCAGGCACTTGGAATGTTCAAAGCATTGTTTTTTTTACATCCTTGCTGGTGCTTTGTATTATCCTGCTTGATCAGGATACGCCGTCATTTCTATGGAAAGAGCGACTCGTTGGCCCTTACAGCGCTGGCCAAATAATGCCAATGCATGATTTTGAAACCCTCGTCCCAAATTGAATTGCGCTACGCCTGGTATGCGATACAAGTGCTGCCGCAAATGCAGAACAGAATTGGGACCACCATCACTATGCCTTTAGTTAGATATTCTAGGTCTCAAGTCTCGCAGACAAGACTCGCTTTTAATTAGCCTTTTTTGTTTACACTTACACTGCTTGTGCCCTGTGCATGTGCCACCATATGCCGTATATTTACGACTTCGTGAATCATCTCCCGACCTACAGCAATCTCGTACCACGTCCTCGTCCTAACCAGTCCATCAAAACGCCTAGTACGCCCAGCTTTGCTCATGAAATGTACATGTTACATAGGCCCCCCCCCCCCTTTGAAATGTAGAACCAGTCATTTAAAAGATCTTGGTAATGCTCTCCCTGACAATCACGCTATTCTGAGTCGCGTCCCTCTTTACACGGAAAAAGCTGTCGCAGAAATCACTACATCGCATATGTCTCAAAAAGTCCTCGTCGTGCGTAATCACAATGAGTTGGAAGTTACTCTGCGCCTGCCTCGTCTTGATAATCATGTGAAGAGACTCCGCCAAGCTCTTGATGTTGTCGCGGTCCAAATTTGTCGTCGGCTCATCAAGGGCAATCAGCCCGCAGTTTACGCCAAAGGACTCTGCAAGGGCGAGGCGGATGATGATGCTCGCGAGGACCTTTTGGCCGGCCGAGCAGCGGCCGCGCATGTCCATTTCCGTGTCTTGCTTGACCATGCAGAGGCGGTAGTTGTAGTTGCGCTTGCCCGAGTTGGACTCGTTGTCGGAGCGAATGAGGATCGTGTCAATGTCTGTGCCTTGGTAGGTGGACTGCCAGAGTTCGCCTGCAATGCGGTTGACTTCTGCCATCTTCATCGAGTGGAATTGCATGACGGCTTTGTCGACGGCTGCTCCGCACTGGGCTAGATCTTCAATGGCGGCTTTGGTGGTTTCGACACGGATATGGGACTCGCGGTATTTCTGTTTGGCTCCCTTGTAGTCCATTTCCCACTCTTGTAATAGCCTGCCTAGCTCTTCATCCTTGGTCTTCATAGTGCCCATGACGGATCCTCGTTCGGCAAGAAGGCGGTTGGATTGGTTCTCGAGGCTGCGTGCCTCGCTCTGCAGGCGTTCGTAATCTTCATGAGCGTTGCGATCCTCAAGTTCTTCAATCTCTCCTCGGAGAACTTCTAATTGTCGCAGATGTTTCCGGTAGTGGAGATTGTCGCTGATATTCTTCTTCATACGGTCACCGCTGTCAATGTCTTGCTTCAACTTGTTTGCTCGAACAGTGAGGTCCGCAATGTCCTTTTCAGTGTTGCTAATAGATTTCTCCAAAGCCGCTATCGCCCGCAGATTGGATGCCAAGTTTGACGGCCCGCCTCGATCAATGTAGTCCTGTATATCATTATCAAGCATTTTTATTTCGCTGACAGAGTTGGCAATCGCGTCCCGTTCGTCGACAATCACTTGCTCCTTGGCACGGCCTCGTTGAAGGGTGTCATCACGAGCGGATCGAGCATCGACGATGCTAGGTTCTACCTTCTCAAGCTCCTCGTCGGCCCGTTGGATAGTCTCCCGCTGATGAGTCATGTCGTCTCTGAGGGCCTGTATTTGATTCTGGATATCATTCTTCTTGTCTAATTGGCCAACCGCCTTGCCAATCTTGTTCCTGAGTTCACTTCTTTCCAGCTCTAAGGAGCCTAGTTGGTCCTTCATGCGCTGTCTATCCGTAGTCAGTTTAGCCACCCGGTTTTTCAATCCCCTCATTTGCTCTCCAATACTAGCCTGCAGCTCATGAATCTCATCAGCGCTTCGAGTGGTACCACCAGACAACTGTTGTGACATGATGCGGTCCACCTGACTTTCGGAGTCTTGAATATCTTTCATGAGCTGGGAGATACCTGAAACAGTCTTGGACAAGTCATCCAAGTCGCGCACTCGGCCGTCCTCGCCAGCAACTCTAGACTCGTGTTCTTCTAATTGCCGTTCGAGGACGTCGTATTCGCTCTCAATCGCTTTGCACTCGTCACGTATAGACGGAAGCTCTGCAGTCAGGCGCTGGTATGTGTCGTAGCTAGATCGAACTTTACGCAGTGATTCCAGGCCAGCCATGGCCTCTTTCAGGTCCTTCTCCACGTCGACCTTGCCCTTTGGGTCAAGGTTCTTTTCGATCTTTTTGCTAAGACGATCCAAACTAGCGCTTTGACCGTCGTCGAAATGTCGTTCGCAGAGCAGGCAGCGCTTCTTCGACTCTAGCATTCGCTTGCACTTGTTGTAGTAGTCTACAAGTGCATCAAAAAGACTCAACTCGTTGCGATAGTCTTCGACCTGTTGTTCTACCGAACCAACCTCTTCCTTGTAGTCATCAATGACTGCGCCATCTCGGACCTCATGGAGTGCAGTCAAAACTTGTTTCTTACACGTTTCAGCCTCTCGGGACTTGGTCTCTTGGGACTCCCTGGCATTTTTGAGCCTGTATTCGATTTTCTGTTGTTTCTGCTTGGTCTGCTCTAGACTTCGTCGAGCGTCTTGCAGTGCCTTATTTTGCTGGGTGAGAGCAGTGTGAAATTTTGTTTCCAGTGTGTCAAGCTCCCAATCACCGCCGATTGCCGCGGCAAGCTTAGACTTCCATGTATTAGTCAGGGTCTCGAGTTTCCGTTTTCTGTCTGCGACCTCCTTCTTCCTATAGTCAAGTTGCGCTCTTTCAGAAGCGAGACGAGTGCATTCGACTAGTTCTCGGCCAAGCTTCTCGTTCTCAGTTTCGAGCTGCCATAGCTTGTCGTTTTCGTCAGAGATTTGTTTATCCCAGTTGGCCTGTTCCATCTGAGTTTGTGCCCTGCTAAAACGTGCACCAATATCTTCTAGCTGGCCATCCAAGATAGCCTTGGCACCTTCGTCAACATCAATTAGACTGGCCTCGTTCTGCAGGACACTAGTGCGCTTTTCAATGGCTCCGATACGTTGCTTTGCCGACACGCGGTCCTGGGTTCTGGCAGCTTTTCGACCCTCCAACTCTGTAATTACTCCGGTCGCCTTGTCCAATTCTGTGGCATTCTCCTTCTGCAGACGCTCAAGGTCTCGCTTCTTCTCAGCGAGAAGTTTCTGGATCTTTTCGTTGAAAGACTTGACGTGCTGTTCTGTCAAATCCCCATCGTAGCCTCGAAAGCCGTGTGTAACTGCAGCTTCTTGCACCATCTCCATGCGAGCTTTTACTTGTCGCTCATATTTATCCTTGTCTGACTGATTTTTGCCCTGTTCGGAAAGCTTTGTGGACAAATTCTTGCGCGAATCTGCCAATTCTTGCTGCAAGTCGTTGTACTGAGACTTGCTTTGCTCTGCTTCTTCTCGATATCGCTCCATGCTATTTTCGTATTGGGCGAGTGCAGTCTCAAGCGATGCGTCGTCCTCATGAAGCTCTTCAAACGTCTGTTTCAGCTCGTTCACGGCATCTTGTCTGTATTCCAGTTGTTCTTTCTTGTTCCCAAGATTTTGAACAATTTGAAGGAAACTATTGGCTTGCTCATGTTTGCGGCGAATCTTGTCCTGAGTTTCCTGCATCTCGGCCGAAAGAGTCTCGCACTTTTCCCTAGCATCCTCAATTTCGGCCTGCAAACCGGTCATTCGCTTTTCTGCTCTTTCACCCCGGTCTTTATTTGCCTTGTTATGGGCTTCATCGTTTTGTAGCTTGCCCAACTGCTCCACATGCTTCTTGCGAAGTACCTTCAAGTTGTCAATGGCCTTGGTATACTTGAGGGCTTCGAATATTTCGTCAAATCGCTTCTTCAGGGCGGCAGGTTCGCTAAGTGGCCACAAAGACTCGTCCTGGTGACAAAAGATGACAGCATCAAGGATAGCGGGTGAGACGCCGAGTCTCTCCGGGATCATTTCATCAAGCTGAGCCTGCCTTGTGGAAGTCGTTGTTCGCTCGCCATTGTTCACTACGACAAGAGAACAGTCAAGAGTTTTCTGCGAACGAGTCGTTTTCTTAACCGTCAGCTGTAGGCTGCGGGTAGCGACATGCTGGCGGTCGTTGATGGAACGAAATTGTAACTTGACCTGGGCCATGACCTCTTTCTCTCCACAGAGCTAGGAAACATTAGCGCAAAGTCCAGGATGAGGATGGCATGATGGCGAGGCGACACTACTCATCGAGACCAGAGCTTACTTTGGGGTCATGAATGAATGCACCGCCTTTGCTGTTTGGCGGCAGCTCTCCAGTGGTGGCATACTTGAGACACTCGATAATGGTTGTCTTTCCAGATCCATTGTATCCGACAATCAAAGTCAAGGGCGTATTGAATTGGATGGCCTCTCGAACCGACGGACTAAACGACCGGACCCCAGAGATGGAGAGTTTGTCGATTCTCGACATGTTGAACGGTGCAATGCATTGATTTGAAGGCCAAAATTGAAATCCGGTTTTTGGCTCAGAGTTGGGCGTGACAAGATGGCCTGCTGAGTGAGGGCCGAAGCTCGGAGTTCTCGTTCGCCTAAACTGGCTCGGACCTGTGCACTCAGTTGCAAATGTGCACGTTGAGGGACGCGCCAGGCAGCGGGTCACGCGTTTGGTTGCGGGTTTTGGTGACGATGAGGGGAGCGTCTTCACGTGCGTGCAGGGACCTTTAATCAATGTCGTATGCGCCACGCATGTGCCACAAGTTAAGTAGTAGTACAGAATCTACATACATACAGATACGAAGTACCGCACGCAGATATTGTGGGCACGAGCCACCATTCAATACTCCGTACAACTGAAGACTTGATCAC